GCTTTGTTCTCATAAGTAATAGTTTAGCCATTAATAGGAGGTATTCAATGCTAAACTAGCTTGGATATAAACCAGCATCATCAAGATGAATTATCTTGATTTCATAATCTAAAAATTATGCTATTAATTGAGAAAGACAATTTCAAATGTCAAACTGCAGGTTGACAATAAACATACATGTAACCATCTTATATATGCATCTATAAGTGGTTCACATGATAGGTGAATGGGCTCATATTCACCTTTTATATATTTCAGAATTCGGGGATTTTAGTCCCAACTTTAGTTGGTATAATCAAGTTATTATGAGAACAAGCAACACAAGAGAATTCTTGAAGAATCTTCTAGTTATTCAGTATATGCTTATCTGAATTCTCAAATAGCTCATTTAAAAATGGCAAATGAAAACTTCAAGTTTATCATAGCATGTGCTATCTCTAAGTAAACTTCTGGTTTACTATGGCATAATCTTTTGCATCAGTAAACTATTGATTTACTGTGGCTACTTTTGTATCTGTAAATTTCTGATTTACTATAGCTACTTTTGCCTCAGTAAAACTTCTGATTTACTGTGACTGCTTTTGCATTAGTAAACTTCTGGTTTACTGTGATACATTATATAGTACAACTTGAAGAATAAGGCGGGTAACTTCTCACATACATATTATTTTACCCCATATGATTGTGGATACATGGAGATTTTCAGTCTTCCAATCATTTGTGGTCTTAATATAATAGCCATTTGTATCAGTAAACTTCGGGTTTACTACAACATATGTTTTGACCATAATCATATAATATGAATGACATATTTGTATATAAGCTCTTCGAGAGCCTTTCTTTATTATCCACAATCTAATATTTACCAGACACTACTGGTGTCATGTGTCTTCTAGACAACAATTAGCTCTTCAGGAGTTGTTGATACATTTTGTACTATCAAATATTGCTCAGACACTTCTGGTATCATGAGAGAAAATCATAATCAAATAAACAATATAAAGACAATTCTAAATTAATAAATGTAAGAAATCAAGAATTTCAATATTTCTACCACCAACTTTGTTTCTCCTTCAGGGAGAAACGCCATTAACATATGAATATTTTATATCAAAGCGGCAACCACATAGTCATTACATCCTTCAGGAAAATATACATGAGTTGTTATTTTCTTCGGGGTAGTTAATAACAACTAACCATAACATATCAATGTAGTTGTAGTAGAAAGCATTCTACAAGAATGATTTTGCCTTAGAATGATACTTAATAAAATTATCCAAGATGTTTTACGTACAACAAGTACGTGCGACAATGATCTTTATGCCACAAAAATAATATTTATATCATCTGTTATTCTAGTTCTTCCGGAGGTGAGTTATGGTATTTCTTCATTCACTACACGGAATGAAAATGTGCTTCAAAACTAACTTTGAATATCTCAATATTTTGTTTAAGCACAAAAAGTCACTGCTTCAAAATATTTTTCTGCTTCGGGAGAAAATTTCAATTGTGTTACTTCTTCAGGAGCAAATTGAAATATGAAAAATTGAGTATATATTCTCTCAATCATATTACCTCTTCTGGAGGTGAATTGTAATATATTTACATCAAGGGCATATTCATATTTACGACTTTATTAATATTATCACATTCACTTCAGGGAATGGATTAATATTTATCAGAAATTCTCATCCTTCAGGAAATCGAATATAATTATCTGAACGCGCATTAATCACATTAATTGTGATGCTTCAACCTCTTTTAAAATATTTACTATTTCAGGAGCAAATTGATGTGTGCATATAATATAGAGAATATTTCTCTAGCTTATCTTTAATTGTAACCATAGAAAGCCTAAATTATCACTTCTGGTGGTCATAGGCATATTCCACTTCTGGTGGTTAACAAAATTTAGTTACAATAAGATATACGAAACATAACCACTTCTGGTGGTTGTATAGTTATTGCAAACTTTGCTGGAGTTTAAGTGGATCTAACAATGTTATCCACTTTGTAATCCTTTATTAAGATAATTAGGATGAAAACAAATACCAAAATAGGTACTATATACGTAACATATAACCAAGCAAGCGATGATAATGATATTAAAATATAAGCAAAAGGCTCAAATTAAATTATGCAATTTTGGCCATACCAGATGTAAGTGATATATATATCACTACTGCCAAGAAGAAAAACTCACCACCTCAAGGATATAATCTGTCTTATGATGCTCGTTATGAATAAGATCTAACCACGGACATAAGAGTATCGCCTTACATCGGAGACGAACATGATATAGAAATTACATTCGAAGTAAGTGCTCAAAATGACAGAGTCTCGTGCTGATAACGTATTATAAAATAAAGACAGTAAAGTAAAGAAACTGAAGACAAGTATAGAGAGAAGCTGATATATTATTCAACTTCAAATTCATGTATATAATGAACTAAAAACTCCTCTATTTATAGAAGAAAGGAAGCAGTTGCGAGGCTTTTCAGAAAGCAGTTGCGAGGCTTTTCAGGAAGCAGCTGCAAGGCTTTTCTTTAGCTGCTTGTAAGCTGTCTGCATGAGCTGCTTGCAACCTGCCTGTTTAATAAGAAGCTGCTGCAAATCATTTCATTGAGCTGCTTGCAACCTGCCTGCATCAGCTGCTTGTAGATAAACTTCAACAGAGTACTAAATGAATAATCTTCTTCAGGAAGATTATCTATAGCGGAGTAATAAATGAACATCCATAATATAATTATTTTCATAACAAAATTCAAAATTTGGACGCATATGTTAATACAAATCAAAAATATTTTTTAAAACAAATGAAATACTACTATGCATGACGGACAGCCTTTTTAGGAGGAAACAAATTGTTAATCAAGTAACTATTTTCGCCTGTTAATATTGATAGGAGTTTGTATTTTTCAACTTTTCTCAAATGAAGTTTACAAAATCGAACAATTTGCTCATAATAAACCTGGTTAATGTGAAGTAATCCGGAGGTCGGTGGATTAACATAAAGATTAGCACTATTGCATGAATCTCATAAAAACCAAGATATAGAATTAAGTGAACGTTTAGTTTACGTTCTTGCTAAGTACTTATGTCTTTGAGTAATTAATGAACTTGTAGTTCTAACAGCATACACATTTTTACAACTCTTGCTGCAAGTTAAAAGTAAAACAAAAGGTATGTTCAAATTATGAAAGTAAAACTGTTATAAATTAAAGGAAGTCGCCCACTATTCTCTTTCAGATTAAAGATCAACTTTGAAGTGTATTGCCTTATTAGTTGCCTATTTTACTGGCGATTCATGACAATTGTTATTTTTGGAAAAATATTTGGTAAAAAGTAAATGTAAACACTTTGAAATGGTAAACGATAGTAATTATTAACATGAAAAAGGAGTGTGTACAATATAGAGTAATAAAGAACCTACTTAGACTGTTAGATTCATTGCAAAAGACTCGCACAAAATTGGCAGCTCACCTATCTTTCAACATACTACTTAAATTTGCCGTCATTATTCAACTTCCTCCCTCTATAATCAGGGTTTAATCAATACCGTCTGCTATGTTAACGATAGAGTTGTCTATGACCCTTTTGGATAAAAACTATGCAAACTCCAATCATTAAATTATATAGTAGCTGGTAACTGCAAAACTAATCCTATTGTTTAGGGGATTAATATTATTAATATCGTTTAGGGAAAAATATTTAAGCATAAGTAGATGCTGGGCCTATGAGATAAACCAAAGCTAGGATTTAGAGGTCCCAAGATCCTAAGTTACTATACAACTAGGTGCTTTGGCGCTATATCCACACATTAAAAGGCTTCTTAAATTTGAGCGACAACGTTGACAGAGTTGTAACCTAGCAGCCTATTATTGAGCGTGTACAATGAAAATTTCGATTTAAAATTATGATTAATTGTAGCACGAAACAAGTTTTCTAAAGGCGGTATCAACCAAATCATGTATTTGTCAAAAAGAGATAACTGACAATACAACATAGGTCAAAATTCAAACCTCGCATTTCAAAATACTGCGTATGCCAATAGCTAATTCAGGGGGGAAGGAGAGTTTAATCTACGGGTTCAGACAAAACTAGTTTGTATTAGAAAATCCATTAAATATGTATACATACTTAAGTAAGAACCCAATAACTAACAAGCTATGAGTTTGATTGCAAATTCAGAACCCATAAACTTTAAATCCTGACTATGTCTCTGGATAATTGATTTAATATATATCGATATGCTTGCTTTATTTATAATTTCATATGTATACGTTGACATCAATTTAAAGCAGTAGATTACGTGCCTAGAGATAGTCAGGGGATCAATGAGTCTCACGTTAATCGAACATGAAGGCAACTTATCGCCGATAATAACAAATACTAATATGCATTCATAACTTAAAATAAAGGGTAAAGAAATAAACTTTCTTATGCCGTCTTCATCCTCTTCCCTCCACACTTCCCATTTTTAGGAAGCTTACAACGACGGCCACAGTAAAGAACGTCAGGAGTGGGTGATTGCAATGCATATATATATATATAT